TCACCTACTGTGTGTCGGATTTCACTAAACAGCTTGTAATCATCTCATTTAATTACCACATAAGCCTCCAAGTTAGGCTTTTTTACTACCATTTTAAGGACAAGGAAATTGGGGTTCAGAGCAGTTTAAATAATTTGGCCAAGGTCACATAGCTATAAATAATGAAACTGGCGATCACATTCCCAGTGGCCTGGTTCTAAAGCTCATGAACATTTCCCTACACAGGGAAGTAAACATACAGTGACACCTGAGCTCAGCCTTCAAGACTACATAAGGCTTCTACAGCTTATCTGGAGGGAGGGCAGGAGGATTCCAGGAGTAGCCAAAAGCAGGAGCAATGCCTGAAGGTAGCAAAGTTTAAAACATATGGGGAAAGGCAGATTCCCTCACATAACAGACTATAGGACATACAAGGGAGACAAAATGGAGAGGTTTTGGAAGAGAAAGCCAGTGGATGATTTTCCATGTTCCCTGTGATATATTTGGAAATTACGGTAAAGTGTAATTTCTTACCTACCTAAAAAATAAATATTATAAGCAAAAAATTTTCTTTATAAGTAAAACATTTTGAATGCATTGGCAATTACTGTTTTATGGCAATAATCTTGACCTTCAATAATAAATATCCTGTAATGCAAACCATGTTGACTGGAAGAGTAATTCTCTCCATATTTCCTTCTCCTCTAGCTTTTGATTTTATCTCTCTGTAAAGGTATTATTTAGAGATTTAAACCACAAGATTAAAGACTAGAGAAACAAAATGCCAATAACGTACTTGGATAAATGACAAATTTCCTATCATGCTAAACAACATTTAAATATTTTCTTTTTTTTTTTAAAGATATTATTTATTTATTTGACAGACAGAGATCAAAAGTAGGCAGAGAGACAGACAGAGAGGGGGGAAAACAGGCTCCCCGCTGAGCAGAGAGCCCGACATGGGACTCGATCCCAGGACCCTGGGATCATGACCCAAGCTGAAGGCAGAGGCTTAACCCACTGAGCCATCCAGGCACCCCCCATTAGGTATTTTCAAATAAGAGTTTTAATATTATAAAACTGGACTGATTTAAATATTTTAAGAAATTTTTTAAAAACCGGGCTGGGAGATGGGAAGAGGGAGAGGGAGAGAGAGAATCTTAAGCAGGCTCCATACCCAGGGCAGAGCCCAACACAGGGCTGGACCTCACGACCCTGAGATGATGACCTGAGCTGAAATCTAGAGTAGGATGCTTAACTGACTGAGCCACCCGGGCGCCCCATAAAATATTTTAAATTTAAAAGTTGGGGGTGGGAAGATATTATAGCCTAAAGTGATATGATTTAGATAGTATGTGTGAGGGACCAGTAAATGTGACTTCACATAAGTAAGAGAAGAAAATGGGGGTGGAGGGGACATAGCTAAGTGCTTCATAAATTATTGGTAAATATCCCAAATTACTACAAGCCACTGCAGAGAATATCTTCCACCTGTAGTCCCAGCACCAATAAGAGTTTAAATTGTAACTTCTAAGTTCTCACAGCCTCCTGCCACAGGGAAGGAGGGAGGCACTGGGTGAGGCAGGCGGGGTACAGAAGGGCTGGGATTTGGGGTGGGAGAAACCACTCCAGTGAGCAGACCCACAGAAACCAGGACAGGAAATCACTGTGTCACAGAGCAGGCAGATATCTCATCTCCTATATGGCACCTGGTCACTGAGTCCCCAGTAATGCTGATGACTGTCCTGATGCTGACTCATGACCCAGATCCCAGGCACCTGCATCACTCAGCTGCCATGGTGGGAAACCGGAGTTCTTCAACTAAATGGGACAACTGAAATTGGGGCTACTAGGATGAGGTGTTACTACCTTATTGATGATTTCCTGAGCATTATGTAAAAGGAGAGATTTCAAAAGGATGCGATTATCAATGTTGACAACACAGAAAGAGGTCATGCTTTTTAGAACTAGGGAGTCTTGCCACAAGGAAAAAGGTCAAGTGAAATGTGCTTACTATACTGTACTTACTATACTAATATTTTGGCTTCCCCTATATATTTAATTTACTTTCTTTATTTTGAGAGAGAATCTCAAACAGACTCACCCCTGAGCATGGAGCCCTATGTGGAGCTCAGTGTCAGGTCCCAGAGATCATGACCTGAGCCAGAATCAAGAGTCAGACACTTAACCAACTGTGCCACCCACGTGCCACTCCTTATATATTTTAAACATTAAATTGCTTAAACTTTAATGGGCTGGCAGTCCCTCTGCTCCCTCTCATCTCCCACCTCCATCCAGCCTCTTTCCCCTTACCCCACTCACTCTTCTTCCCCCACCAACCCCTTGCCTTGCCCCTCTCTCATTTTTCTTCCCCTCCCCTTTAACCCCTTCATCATCTCCCCATCTCTTTCCCTCATTTTCCATCTTCCTTCCATCTTGCTCTTTTACTCTCTCCCCCTCTTCTCTCTTTACTCCACCCCTCTTCTCCCTCTTCCCTCTCCCTCCCCTTCCCAACCCCCCCCCACTGCCTTCCTATACCCGTAAGAAGTAGTTTCAGTCCGTCCTGGTTTATGTTGAGTAATGCATCTCAGGCTGAGACTTTGCCTAAGGATCCTGGCCAGAAGCAGTAGCTTATGTAAAGTTGATTGGCACATGATTTTTTACTTCTGAGTCACAAAAGTGAATTTAAGCCACTATAGTTGCAGAACTACACCTCAGAAAGAGTGGTTTGGGAACCTCACAGGTGGAAACACGCTATGGGAAGGAAAGGGAAGGTGAGCAAGCAGCCCCACAAATGCCAAGACCCAAACCATCTCTGGCAGTCAGTCCCGAGAATGCACTGCTCCTGCAGGACAGCCCTTCCCTGATTCCATGGATTCTGATATAGAGACCTGTTTTGTTGTGTTTTCCCCACTGGGGATAGGGGAACTTATAACCATATATTTTTTTTTCACCCTTTAGGTAAAGAGGGTGTCTGAAGGTGCGCGCGTTGCTCATTAGCGCCACCTAGTGAGACAGGAAAGGAAGGAAATCAGCAAGGCCAGTAGCCACAGATTGTCACTGCAATTTTGTCACTCCAGCTTTGTAACTCTGGGCCAGCCCAGCGCCACCTACATCACAGGGCTTCTGTGACACTAAGGATGATATCCCTTATGAAATGCTTGGTACGTAATTGGACCTCAAGAAATGCTGGCCCTCCCAGCCCCCACTGAAACTTTGCTACTTTTATCTAAGAAGGATTCATTTTAATCACTCCCAACTTCACATGTGGTAGTCAGCTAAATAGCAATAAACGATTTGTTTGAAAACCTTAAAGTCCATAAGGCTTATGTGGTGAAAGCCACTCTGAATGAGTTGGTCCATTTCCATATTTCTCTCTTTTTCAAGATTTTACTTATTTGACAGAGAGATAGAGAGCAGAGGCAGGCAGAGTGGCAGGCAGAGGGACAGGGAGAAGCAGACCTCCCACTGAGCAGGGAGCAGGAGGCAAAGCTGGATGCCAGAACCCTGGAATCATCACCTGAGCAGAAGGCAGCAGCTTAACCGACTGAGCCACCCAGACGCCCCTCATGTTTCTCGTTTTTCAGTAGAGTCCAAACATTCTTTCAGTTTGGCCAATTTTTGACTTGTGTAGGATAACATTTTAATGAACCAGACAAGACTCGTTAATTTCACAAAGCAAGTGGAAGCTGCAAGTTAACAACTGTATTAAGCTAATGTTTATGGAGCATTTGCGATTTCTCCAGTAGTGGACTAAGCACTTTATTTGTACTTAAATGCATTTGTATGTCGTTTAATCCTAACAATCCTATAAGACAAACACTATAATTATCCCCACTTTACAGATGAAGAAACAAGGCTAAGGTAAATAACTCCAGCAACACGTCTGAGTTTAACACCATACATACTGCCCTCTCTTTGCAAAACGGTGCCTATTCACATCTTTCTATCACCCAGAAAACGTGCACATATTCAAATGATAGAAATTTGGAAACCCCCCTCATCCAAGTTCCCATAACTGTATTAGATTATCAAAAGCACCTCTTCTCATTGCTGTATTTCAGAGAATCAAAACTCCTCATCCTATTCCAAAAGGCAAGTGCAGATTTAATCAATAGCTTCCCTGAAATTCGTCCAGTCTTCCTTCAGTTATTTCTTTTTTTCCTGCCTCCCTTTTGACTTAACAGATATTTTATAACCGTCCCATAATTGCGACTAGTCCCTGGAAGAGACAACAGAATGTCAGCAGTGTTCGCTCGAGAGAGGAACAAGACAAAGCAACGCTTCCGACTCAATTCACAAAAACTCCACTAAAATATAAAACATCCCCCTGATGGCTTTCCTAAAACAGTAACGGTGAACGACGAGAGGGCTCGCCCACGGAGGGCTGTTGCGGTGCAATCTGGGGTTTTCGAGGTGAGAAGTGCGGCGGACCAGCGTCCACGCGCTTCCGCGCCCGCCTGCCGGCCCCACGACCCGGCAGTTTGGGAAACGGGTTACGGAGGCTTGAGTATTTCCAGTACGGAGGCTACAGCTGGCAGAACCCGGGTTCCTTCCCTGGCTGATGACAACTGCTTCACACAGAAGAGGAAATCTAAGAAGTCCACGCAACAGTCCCTGCAGACGACGAAGTGGGATCCCGGGGGTCGGCCGAGGGCGGCTGCTCGCCGTTTCAGGGGGCCTGGTCCCTCGCCAGCTCACCTTCGCCAAAAGGTCCAGCCAGGGCCAAGAAATGAGGCTGCGGGCCACAGGAAAGCCGGCTGCGAGCCCGGGGACTCCCCGCCTCCCTCTCTCCCGGAGGACCGCGTGGCGCCGCGCAGCACCTGTGCCCCCCCCCCCCCCCCCCCCCCCCCGGCGACGACCTCGGTCCGGGAGCCAATCGGAGGCTGTGCGGGGTGCGGGGAGGAGAGCCCTCCGCACGCTGTGCCCGCCCCGCGGGCCGCTCGCCCCCAGCCCGGCCCGGGATGCTCCCGCGCGCGCGGTCCCGCTCCCCACCTGGAGCCTCCCGCTCGCAGCCTCACCTCTGGCCGCAGCCTCCTGTTCCGCCGCCATCGCAGGAGCCACCCGGCCCGCTCCGCAGCCCCGGGGCTGGCGGCATCTAGAGCTCCGGGCCCGCCCTGCGCCGGCCCGGGAGCGGGGACGCGGGCGCCGGGGGAGCTGGGCCTCGCGTCTCGACGGTCACCCCCTTGGCCCCTGGGCGCGCAGCCGGCGCCGACTCGCAGCCGGTCCGCCCGGGACCGCAGAGCCAGCGGCCTGGGACTGGCCTGCCGCGGGGCTCCCAGCCGGAGAAAGGCACCCGGCGCGGGGCGGAGTCACGGCGGCCCCGCCCCCGACCCCTGCGGCTGGAGGCACCACGGGGAACAGCGCGCGAGGCAGCACCTTGAGGCTTTCCGGAGAGCGGCTTTTAAAACAGGTTTCCACATCACTTTAAGGATTCGTTGTGTACGTGTTCCATGGGTTGGAGTTGTTTCCCTTGGGGGAAAAGGTAAAGGATGCATGGAGATCTTTGCAAGGTGGGGGCGCTGGGGGAGGGAGGGGCTGGAAGAGAAACTTCGCGGGTCCTCAGAAGGGCGAGGGAAGGGCTTCGCTGCAGAGACAGGGGTGCGAAGTGACAGAGAGGGGGTCACTGAGAAAGCTGTTTTGGCTCCTGCAACCGTTGGGTAAATCCAGAAGCAACATCCTCTGGGGATCATTACACACACACACACACACACACACACACACACACACACCGCCACCACCACCCCCACTCCCCCGTGCCGAATAAGCGGCTTCTCTCCCCGCCCACTGGTCTCTAGCCCCGTTCCTTGCTTACAGTTTGGCCAGTAGACGAAGGTAGTGGAGGAAAGGAACAGCAGAGAGAACAGTAAATCTTTGCATCAGCTCGCCTAAATCTATTAATTTTCCTACCGTGACTCTTCGTTATAGCGTCTTAAACTCGCTGCCCATGTGTTCTGAGGGCTACTTCGGGCCAAACCTGGGCAAGGGGATTGGAACAGCGTTCCTGGGCAGAAATAAGTATGTCCAGGGGAAACTGCTGCCCTCTGAAGTGGGGATGGCAATTTTACCAGCTGGAGGTGGAAAGAGGTGCTGAGAACGTGGCTGCCCTCAGTAATGCACACCAAGGCACTTCCCTTTTCAACACCATTCTTGACACCTCTCAATCCCAGCTTTGACTTGGAGCTCTACCTGAAATCCACCAACACCAACACCGGTGGCAGCTCAAAAATAAAAATTCCACAGACAGCCTGGCAGCTAGTCTTTAATCAGGAGTAGGTTTCCCTGAATATGTCCAAACCTGGCTTTCCAGGTAAATGTGTGCTGTTTGGGGATGGTTTACCAAGTGGGGAGGCATTCTAAGACCTCAGCATGTATTAAATGTCACCTTTCTGGTGAAGCAGTGCCATGGTTAAAATGCAGAGTACACACTATGTATATATGTATAGGGGCTCAGAGATGAGCACTGGGGCCAGGATCACTTAGTGGGTGGGAGAAGCCAGACTGTAAAAACCAGATCTTCTTAGGCGTTCATACCACAGTATCCAATAAGCTTTCTGGTGAATCATTGCAGTCCTCATTTCTTAGAAATGATTCACTTCCACTCAAGCCTGAAAGCCAAAGAAAAGGAATCCAGTACCTAAATATGATAGAAGGAAGTAATAATGCTCAAGGAGAAGAGGCCACAGGGTTCTCCCAGGGCAAGTCACTTTCACAGCTTAACATGCACTCCCCTTTAATGTTCAAGTTTAAATCTTACTAGCTACTTTTTCTTTATGCTCTGGAGCTTTCCATTCTAGGACTTTTTTTTTTTTTTAAGAGTAGTTATATTATGCCTAGTAGGATAAAACAGATAGAAAACCAGAATCCTGAGAGATGGATAAGAAGGTAATCTCTCATTTACAGGCAGTGATTTTCTAACATTTTCTCCTTGGGCAAAATGTAACAAGTGATTTGAAACATAACTTGCAGAACACTGTGATCTATTTCCTTCTGCTTAATACACTTTTCTCACCAAAGGCCCAGGGACAGTGTTGCTCTTCAGGAATCATTGCTAATCCCAGGGTGATCTTAGTTTGCTAATTTTGCTTCACTGCCAAGTACTTAGGCAAGAACAGTACTGGAATCAATATCCACTGCCTCAAAACTATAAATTCCTGTATTTGTCAACCTCCTGCTGAGATTGTAACAATGTAATTTGGTTTGAGGGTTCCTTAAGACCACTTAGATATTTTAGTTGGTGGCGGAGGGGGAATCCACCTGCTTCAGAATGATACTGTTTCAAATTGAAGATTCAAAGATACTGTTTCCAATGATGCATAAATAAAAAAAAGTAACCACCCCTCAATGAGCTCCTGGCTGGAGAAAATAACTAAATTATTTATATTTAAAACTACCTTTTCTTCCCTGCCACTGTCCTTTTACCCCCACCCCCAGCATTCTATGGAGGGAACATACTGGGGAAGATTCTTGTTTTTGCTAAGCAGATTGATGAGTGGGAGCACAGCTGGGAGAAACAGAAAGGCCAAATGTGTTTAGAGGAGTAGACGGACCTGTCGTAGGCATCTGGTACGGGGAAGATCAGCTTGAGCTTGGCTTATGAAGGAGTGGAGAATGCAGAGAAGGTAAGTGCAGGAGCGTATACTCATGAGAGAGAGGAAAGAGGTGGTGGCAGCTGCCACAGGGAGTGGAAATTTGAGAAAGATCTTTTAAAAGGGTATTAAGGGAACTTCACTGGGTAATGCAAACCCTCTTACATTATTTCCCTGGAAAATAACAACTTTAGTAAAGCTACATCCCTTTTCAATGCTTTTGGAGTTGATTTATGTTTTTATTAAAAATGAGAACATTTTGAGATCAGCTTTAGATGGAAAGTAGGGCTGCCCACAAAAAAATGCAGTTATTTAATTCATTTGTTCACACGTATTTATAGAGTGCCTACCGTGTGCCAGGCGTTGCTGTAAGCACAGACTTGTACTTCACCTGCTGTGCCCCCATCACTTTATATAGATGTTCTCACAGCAATTGATGGGGTGGGTATTATTTCGTTTGGGAAAAGTCCAACCAGTGTCTTTTTCTCCTCAGCTCCGCGGTTCCCCAAGTTGGATGTTCATGATAATGTACAGAATTTCAGACTCACTCCTAGAGATTCTGAGTTAGTAGTTCTCAGTCCCTACTTCAAACCAACACCCTAGTTGATTTTGAGACATTTTAAGTACTCTAGAAAATACTGCTTCAAGTTGCCAAAAATCAAGTTTCCTAAGCCTAGGTTGTTGTGGGGGTAAGCTGGGTATTTCTGCTAGCCAGAGGTCAGAAGTAGCCATAAACTGAAATTCTGAGAAAAATACAAAAAGGATCATAGGACAAGCCTGAGGGAATGGCTGTGCAGACATCTCTTTATATATGGAGTTACTGTTTAATGTTATTTTCCCCTTAGAGATGATGTTTGTGTGTGTGTTATAAGTGTCAAAAGCTGAAGTGATTTTTACTTTAGCAGGTTTAGGACACTCTTGAAACAAGTATGTATCCCAGGTCCTCTTGAGTCCTCCTCATATGTATGGAATTGGATAGGAGTGATCTTCAAGTTCTGTTCAAATTTATCTCACCCAAGAGGACAAGAAAGGCAAAGGACAGTCTCCCTTTCATGTTATGGCTTTTGCCCTTTGGTAGAGCCTTAAAAGTCATCCTGTGTTGGAGCATCTGGGTGGCTCAGTCAGTTAAGCGTCCGACTCTTGGTTTCGGCTCAGGTCATGATCTCAGGTTGTAAGATCAAGCCCCGCATTGGGCTCTGCATTCAGTGGAGAGTCGCTCGAGATTCTCTCTCCCTCTGCCCTACCTGTGCCCCCTACCCTGCATCTTCTGTCTCAAAATAAATAATAAAAAAAAAAGTCATCCTCTGTTTAAGGGTTTGATAAGGAACGTCTTAATATGAACAGTAGAGTAATTCCAAGATAAAATTGTGGTAGTTAGCACCTTGCCTGAGAAATGTTTGGATTTCTATTAGTCAAAGCCCATCTGCTCAAGTTAGACAAACAGTTGAGCCAGTAATAATCAGGCAACCCCACTCCTGGCTGGATCTTGGGGAAATAAGTCGATGAGTATCTCTATTGCTGGCATGATAGCAGTGTGGGGAGATGGACCAATGAAGCAATGATTAGGAGTTGGGAGGGATGGCAAAAGCACTAAACAGACCAAACCCTGGTCATTGGGCCATACATCTATTCTGTCTGTATGAGGTCCAGAGATACAACCCTGCTTTGGTTCTCCAAAGGGCAAGAAAAGTAGGATTACAGTGGCTGGGCCATGGTTGGGCGCAATGGTACTTACTACTCCTGCTTTCAGTGGGCCAGGAAAGACATTAATAGATCAGGTTTCAGCTCAAACATAGCAATGGGAGAACCAGCAAGAAAATCCAGGTATAGTGGCTTAAGGTAAGAACCATTGCTATAAAAATGTGTAGCACCCTTTTGATTACCTTGGAGCTTTTTAAAAGAACGCCAATTGGTCCTGGTATCAGGTGGCCATGTGCTTTAGATAAGCCTCCACCTAGTACCAGGGATGTGAATCCTGATTTTTAAGTCTGTCCCAGGCCAGGTACTGTTGTAGGAATGGATGTATGACATAATCATGGCCAATAAAATGTGGAGGTTACTTTGCTTAGAATGCTTCTAGAAGACATCTTCCTTGATCTTAAAAAAGAGGGTGCACAAGCAGTAGTTTCTAGGGACTTACATATTGTAGAAAGACTTCATGCTTAGAGTCTCTGTAGCCATTTAGCCCCTATGAAAAACAAGAGGAGGGACAAAGCTAACGCTTGTAAGATGACAAAAGTAGTACAATGGAAAGAACCAGTGTTCTTGATGTTGCTTTTAAGACGTGAAGTGGACCACCCTGGAAGCTCACTATCTCGTGTCTTCATGTCCTATAAGATAATCATTTTCCTTATTGCCGAAGCCATCTTGACTTGTGTCTTCTGACACTTGCAGTCTAAAGTACCCAAAGTGACAAATCTGTCACTAGCTCCCCACGTATTTTTCTGAGGTCTAGAAGCTCATGAAATAATTTGTCACTGAAGCATGCTGTCTGATGTGGGGGGATACAGCAGCACTGGACTTGGGTTCAAGAGCAATTTATTACCTGTGTCTGGGTAAGTCATGCTCAGCCTCATGTTCATCATCTGTAAAATGAGGGTAATTATGTTTATTTCAGAGCAATAGTAATATCCAAAATGAATAATATAAGTTAAAGCATTTTGTATACAAATAGAAGTTCTTTTTTTATCAGAAGATGCTCTTGAAAGAAGATGCACTTAGTCTCCAAGTTTGCTCCAGTGTCCAAATTCTCACAATCGGTGCTTTCACTTTTTTGTCTTAACAATGGCATTATTGAAACGATGTAAGTCAGGAACAGTGAGGAGCACAATTAGGGTGAGCAGGATTCTGACTGGCCCCCTCTGCGCTTGGTGGAAAGAGTAGCATGACTGCTTATCAGTGTCTTCCGTGAGACAGGACATAATGGTACTTGTGTGCAAACCTACGCCACTCGCATCACTAGTTTACATGCTATTCTGAGGCATTTTAAATTTAATTTTTGAGGTATTTCCAATTTCCGTTTGCTTGCAAATTGATTTTGGCTTGGTGGGGTAGTTATATACAAATCTGTACAACTACCTTGATTATTTAAACACAATACAATTGAAACTTCAAATATTGTGTTCTTGATGTGATATTTAAGTGTGATGGTTGCATATATTTACAGAAGAGTCTTTCTTTAGTTTTGGATAACACCTGTCTCAAAACTTGAAAATAAAACCAAAACATCTCACCGACAGAAATATTATAAACATAGTTTTTATTCTTTTCTTACCTTCAATGAAAAAGGCCTCATGTCACCAAAACATTTTTTTGAAACTCGGTAACTAAACACAGCACTTGACAGCCTCATGATCATTTTTCTAGACAAATGCTGAATAATTTATATTGCTTTTTAAAAAATAACTAAGAACTATTTTTATTACTTCATTTCTGCTTAAAGTGGCAATGTGCCCTCACATTTTTTTCATAAAAATCTAAAATTTATCTAGTAGTCCCAAGTGTTTCGTATTTGTTTGTTCTAAGTGTTTCATTAAAACTTTCCGGAAATAAGTGCACTTCTAAAGAGAAAATATGTGTCAAATAAAGACGAGAGGAAATAGTCATGGTTATAGTAAAACAGTTGTTCTGAATATCCTGAAACTTAACACCTCAGAGCGAATGTGATTTAGTTGCTAGGGGACTTCTCTCCTGATTAAAATCTCAACTCATTAATTTATAGATCATCAAAAGATGGATAGCTGGTTCTTCTACCAGTAGATATGGTTTGATTGTCTAAAGGTTTTCTACACAAAAAAACCTCAAAAATTAATGAACTTAAAACATTTTTACATTTACTGATTTACACAAAGATATACAGATGCTTTAAAAACAGAAGTAGTATGATATTATAGAAATAAATGAAACCCTATCTTCAGACTTAACAACCAAAGGAAGTTTGAAGTTTTCCACATGTTATTTTTCATTCAGCTATTAGCTTATTAAAATCAGCCATATATTTCATTCAGAAAAGGTTGATTTATAAGAAATTCCTTGTTTTCAGATAGCACTGTGCTTCAATAAATTTAAACTATGTTAGTAAGAAAAGCATAAAAGAAAAATAACATAACTTGCTTTAATACAAAGGTTTTTTTTTAATAAAAATGTTGAAGTCTACATTAAATCAGGAAATCAATAAATCTGAATTATACAAGCTTTCTATATACTTAGAAAAACCAAAAACACACAGTTTATAATAAAACTCTTTAATTCAAAATAGAGTCTAATTTAAAGAAAATGTCATTATGCCCAGTTGATTAGATAGGGTTTTGTCATTTACATTAAATGGTTCACCTGAAACATGGTAAGTGTATAATAGAGAAAATTCGATCTTGAGGGTACTTTGCAAATTACCTAGCTAATTTGCATTATGACTCAAATTCTTAGCTTCCAAAGGGCAGACACAGTCTTTAATTGCTTTTAGATAGGCACTTAAGAAATGCTTGTGACGAGGAGGAAACCCCAAAGATTGTGAATCACTCTGTTAACTCCAGAGAAAAATGAGACTCTAAACAAAGTCAACTTTCCAGAACTGCCCTTCCCACTGCCAAAAAATCATAATTATTTCCAAGTTCTTCCTGCTAATAAAAATGAGGGAGATGGAAAACAACATGCTCTTCTCTTATTTGATTAAAAAGCAAACAGGTAATTCAGTTCCATTCTAGGAATCACCCCTCCATGGTCAACTTGAATTATTAATGACATTTTTCTATGCTAGAATAGTTACCATATTACAACTAGAGAATGATGCAGTTTCCTCTTGTCTTACTCATTCATTATTACACTAGCAAAACAGTCAGTCTTTTTTAAAAGGTGGGGGGATGCGGTGAGGTGAGAAAAATCTCATAAAACTGAGTAGCAGTTACAGCTTTTTTTAAAAGTTGGAGTTATAATTAGAAGAACCAGAGCTGGTCAAATTGAGATAACCCTAGAATTTTAATAGTTCTCTCTCCTAGATACTCAGCCACATGATCCAAATGAGAAAAATGGAGATGAACTATTAGATGAACATATAGTAAGTACCAAACAAATACTAGAAAGAAAGAATGGAAAGAAGAAGGAAAGAGAGAGAACAGGGGAGAGAAAAGCCAACCAACTAACCAACAAACCAACCAGCATGGCCTTGTTGAAATATCGTGGAGCTACCTAGCAGCAGCATTTATAAAAGCTTCTGTAGATTTGCATAAGGATCCTGTGCAGTTCTTCCCCATTAAGAAGAACATAGCTACAAATAAACCATCACTTTTGATTTTGATCACAGATCATGGTTACAATTGTATCAATTAACAGTTAAGACAAACATTAGGCCATTATTTGATAAAGTATTGTTCCTTGACTAGTATTTATGAAGCCAAAACCTCAGAGAGTCATTTTAGAATAAAATGTTGAGCTAAAAAGCATGACTTAATTCTTCGGGAAAGAGCTAAAGAATTTGATGCTGACATCATATCCCCTATCCTCCTCACAAACTCACCGGCGCCCCTCACCACCCGCGCCCCCCACCGCCTGCATTTACTTTCTTAATTCCATGTAGGTTAACCATAGTGATGTAGCTGAACATGAACAATATTGCCCTTGAATAAGCTGAGCACTATCAAAGATCTGTCATATCTGAATATGGCATTCCCACAGGAAAGGAAAATTCTCCTCAGTTGTGAACATCCACTCTGTTCAGGATCTTTGGTACATTTGGAGTGTAAGAAAATAATGGCACAATAATACAAGTACTATCAAAGGAAAGATTTTCACCAAACAAAAGAAAAGTTAACCGGCCATGATATGTAACAACTTTCTAGAAAACCAAAGTAGATAGCTCTTTGTTCTCTACAAGTCCATTTCCATGATCAGAAGTTTGACATTTAAAAAAATAGTTTAATAAAAATACACCAGTTCTACAAGCAGCCTTCATGGTCATTTCTTAAATTCAACTCACCATAATCAAATCAAAATAATGCCATGTCCTCTTGTTAAAAAAGAAGTCCTTTTTGTCACAAGAAAAGCAACTTTACATTTTATATAATACATCTCCCTATGAGTATACAGACTACGTATATAAAGGTCATCAGTATTTCTGAATGCAAAGTAAATATATTAGTGGAGTGCTTGAGTGAAGGTGTTAAAGTTCCTCTTTAGTATAAACTTGTCACTCCCGACTGTGCAGTTTGTGAAATAACATGATGATAAATTCTATTTTTTAAATAACCAGTGTATTTCCTTTTTAAAATTTCTTAAAACCATTACAGAAATTGTCTTCATGTCTGTTCATTCTATAGACGTCCAAACCAATAGGGCAAGTATTCTAACACCGACTATGGAAGATGGCTTTTTTTGATTATCTAGACCCATAAGATTTGCAGTAAAACAGCAATACTGCAGTGTTACCTACAGGTTAGCCTATGTTGCTTTAAATGATATGTTTCTCCTGAATTGATCAGAGGTGTTACAGTACAAAGCCACAGCACACACAGGCAGAATGGACCTTAATACGCGTGTAGGCAGTGCAGTTAAAAAGGGACGTACATTTCTTTTATTCCAGTACCTTCGTATAATAAAGTTAACAAAAATAATAAAATATTAAAAAAAAAACAAAAGCCAGCTGGCACTGCCAACCAATTCCTGTAGTAGTCTTAGAAATCCTAATCCTGTAGAATTTCCTCTTGTAGTCATAAGCACCACCGTCTTCGGGAGTATTTCAGTGTATTGTTATCTACGCCAAGCAAGCCTGGTGATGCAGCTACCTGAGTTCTCTTGGTTGTGGGCGAACGTGATCTTTATTCATAATTTTCCAGGTTTCATGTAGGTGGGGATAGAGCCACGCTGAGTCAACCCTTCAAACCTTTTATAGGTATAATTGAGAAAAACCCAGTCTTTGGATTTGTAGTCCGGTTCTGTGGTGTTTGGCACTAGGAAAGATGGGAAAATTAACCAAGAACAAAGGAATTTCATTAGTGACCCTGTAGGCATCTTTACAGACTGTGAAGTGTTAGTTTTGTCATAGATTATCTTACCTGGTTGTAAAATATCAGATTCAGGAAAGTCATCGAAATTTGAAGTATCATCAATGCTTTTGATTTCTATAGGGATCGCTGCTGGCCTTTCCCTATAAAAAAAGGATCAAGTAGTAGCATGGCAAATTTTCTTTAACTCTTTGTTTTCCAAAAACAGTTCTAGTTGCAAATTCTGCTTCCTGATCTATAGATAATAGAAGAGTCGAGAGAATTTATTGTGGACTTGAAAACTGTGAAGTGGATGTCATAGTTGAGTGTAATATTTTCTGAAAACATGACCATTTACTTGGAATTTTTATTTCTTTGTACCCAGACTTTCTCATGCTGTTTTGTTTAAAGTGGAAAAATAACAGCTAATGAAAGGGAATGTAGAACAGAAGAGATTTTGTTCAAACAATTTAATAATTACATAATGCATGCTGGCTATTGTGTGTACTGGATTCTAGCTAAACGATTCAGGAAAGAATTCTTCTACTAAAGGATCCATAGATTAAAAGTCATTTGGGAACGTCTGGCTGGCTCAGTAGAGTGTGTGACTCTTGGTTTCAGGTTCATGAGTTCAAGCCTCACACTGGGTATAGAGGTTACTTTAAAAAATAAAGATACTTGAAAAACAAAAAGCGCTTTGGGAAATTAAGGGGGGCAAAGGGACTACACATTTGCAATGAAATCTTAAAACTTTCTGCCATATAAATGTTAAGGGAATCAGGGAGATTAAGTTAAAAAAATCAGTCATGAAACTATCTTACCATGCTAACAATGTTTAAAAATAGGAATAGTTAAAAGAAGCTATCCATTTTTATTGCTTCTATTTTTTTCAACAAATACTTAACTGGATGTATTAGGGGACAAGTGAACAAAGCCAGTTACCTAAAGTCCCGAGTATTCTTCGCAGAATCATTCCAATTCTTTATACTTAATGTAATAACTTAATAAATGTATATTACTTTAGTGACAAGAACCGGAGACTCTGGTGTCGTTAACTAGCAGCGTGACCTTAGGCAGGCAACTCCTTGCTCTGTGACTATTTCCTTACTATCAAAGCAAGAGATTGCACTAATGGGCTCTAAGCGTCCTTCCAACTGTGAAGCGGGGAATCCTCATTCTGTTCAGTGAGATGAGGTATACAGTGTAATGCAGCGTATCAGTTAAGAACCAGGACACCCAGGGGTCCAATTCTAGTTAGAAATTCTAGCTGGAAAAAAAAAGAAAAAAGAAAAAAGAAATTCTAGCTGGATTATTTACTGGCTGTGGCACTGCAGGCAAATTACTTCTCTGTGCTTTAGTTTCCTCATTTGTAAAAGAAACATCATGATGGTACCTATTTTATAAGGTTTATTATGAGGATAAGATAAAAAATGCACATAAAGTCCTCAGAACAGTGCTGGACATAACAATAAGTGGTCCAAACAAATGAGTTGTTATTACAGCAGGTCGAGTGCCTGGCACACTGTGGGAGTTCCCGTGAAGATGTGCCTGGAGCCAGTGACACATTAGCTGTCTCAAAGGAGGGGCAGATGCTGGCCAGGCAGGGCAGGAGTGGGGACAGGAATGAGCAGAGAGAGAAGAGCATTTCAGGCAGAATGAAGAGCAAAGGGCAAAGCCCTGAGATGAGAGGAGCAGAACGACCCTCGGAGATGCCACTGGGACCGATGAGGGTAGAGCCACACCCCCCAGGCCTAAAAGCAGTGCCTTGGCCTTAATTTTATTCTAAGTGCAAAGGGAAGGAAGAAAAGGGTATGATCAGTGTTATGTTTTAGAAGTCTCACTGTGTGGAGAGCCTCCCAGAACTACTGAAGGTACTTTGGCCACAAACTGAATTAAAGGCCGATGCTTACAATTAACGACTGCAAGCAAATTCTTAAAAGTTACTTGCATCATTTCACTTTTCTCACAGTGTTTAAAAAAAGCGACTGTGTCTTCTTATAACTTCATAAAGAAGATGGTATATTAGAGAAAGGAGCAGTATACAGCATGACAGAACAGGACAAAAATGAGGGGTTATCGTGTGAAATAAAACTACATCCCTGTCGTGCGGACATCAGCTTGCATCCCGTAACTCTGAATATAAAAATCGAAACAGGTGCACAGTAGGTGGTTTCCCCTTTACATTGGGCATTTGCTAAAACCAGTCATTTAGCTATATTCTCACTTCTGTAGTCCAGAGAACACTGGTTTAATAACACTGTAACCGCACTGAGTATTTAGCAGAACCAGAGACAAACTGATCGCTAAACCTAGTAACAACAAACGTTTTACTTAGATCTCTCCCGTTGGAAGCCTATGAGCGTACCTGATGTGCCCCCAGTCTACACCTTCAAAGAAAGGATGACTTTTTATTTCTTCTACTCCACTATTTCCAATTCTGTTTTCAGAATCAATACAAAATCTAGAAAATGGAAACAGAAATGATCATATGCAAATTACATATACAGTATCCTATCTGCATTTTTTTCCAAACATTTCATTTTTTTCCTCTGTTTACCGAAGTCAGCTCTGTTTTTTGTGGGAAATATGGGAAAGAACAGAAATCCTCTGTAATTGCACTGTACAGAGAGAACCACTATAAACAGTTTGAAGCCATTTCCTTCTAGTCTTTTATTACAATTTTTAAAAATATGTGTTAGTACAGTAGTTTTACGGTGATTCTTTTCATTTAATATACTGAGAAAACTTCCCAAAATCATGATATATTTTTCTTTAACTTCATATTCTAAAATTTGCTTGTGGAAATATTAGTTTATTTAGCCAGTCCACTCTTGTTGAACACTTAGTTTTCAATTTTTCATTACTAAAAACATCATGATAAACAGTCTCCCTACATCTTTACACACATCAAATTGTCTGCATAAGCAAAATTCCTAGAATTACTGGGTCAATGGTCATATACAGTTTAAAGATTTTTGATAATATGCTGTCAATTAGCTGTTCTCATAGGTTGTCCCAATTTATATTCCTTGCAGCCGTTCACAATAATACCAAACTTCATCTTAGTGGAGAAACAGAATGGAATCCTTTGCTTAGAAATAATTTCATATATAGACTTGTGATAGGCACTGCTACTAGCGATTTATTTTCTCTTTTCTCTTTAACGAAATAGGTCATTGCGTACCAACAGGAGTGGCCTTTGAAATGATACAAGACACCGTCCCTCTTCTTAACTCTTACTTTTACTGCATGCTTCCTTTTAATTGTTTGCAGTTTTTAAAAAACACATTTTCTTTATTGATCTCTTTGACTGTATAGATCAGTAGTGGTCCTTTTCCTCCCACAAGAATAAAATGGGCAATTCAATCTTTTTTAGGTACCTGTGAAGTTTCAAAATACCATAAACTCCCCTAGGGATTTAAGCACTAACCTAAGAATTAAGTCCTTGGCTTTCTCAGATATAGGTACCTCTGGAGGAAATACCAAAGTTTCTTTCCAGTTCATCACTTTTCTATATGTTTCTTGAGGAGTTTCAGAACAGAAAGGTGGATATCCTGCATATGAGAGAAAATACAAGTTTTATCATCTTTAATAATCAAATATGCTCTACACATACTGTGTATGTGTCATAGGGAAAAAAATAGCCAGAAGTGCTCTATTCAGCAATAAAAAAATGTCACCATTCATCAATTTATAATAAAATTGCTAATATATAATATATTAGCAATATATAATAATATAAAAAAATATAATAAAATTGCTAATAAAGGCAATAAAATAAAGGATTCAAAGCATTACCCCCTTTATCCAAAAGGCCACGTAGATGCAATTTTGACACATGGGAGTTCTGGTTAAATACCCTGTTCCTGAACTGCTACAGAGCTCACTGGTATTTATCATTATTGACATTGGGAGATGTCAAGGAGTTCAGACATTTTAGCCCATGATATCTGTAATACGTTCCATCCGTGGCACTCATGGAAATTTCTATAGTATATACGTAAACAAATGATAAGACATACCTATTAGCATTTCATACATAATCACTCCCAAAGACCACCAGTCACACAGCTTGTTGTAACCAGTCTGCATGAATACTTCTGGAGCAATGTAATCTGGTGTCCCAACTGTGGAATATGCCTGCCAAGGAAAAGCTTATCAAACCAGCATTCTTAAATATTTGTTAAAAGATCTGAGTATGGCTCATTATTGGAAAAAGCAATACAGCAGTTAATTTTGCATTAATACTTGTTTCACATGTTTATCATGTAGAAAGCTTAGTGACAGGTACCGAATCAGATAATATGTTATTTAAGATATGATTTCTGGCTGCCCACCACCCCTTCTCCAAGAAGCTCAACTAAATTATTTATATATTTAGCCCTAAATCCTGTGAAAATTAATAGAAGGACAGCTCACAAAAGTGGCCTCGGGGTGCTAGAAGGGGGAGCTATGCTGCTGTACTCCTCACTGTCAATTACAGACCCCATCGGAGGAATCATGAACAGGCAAAGAATCACCTAGTGGGCCCCAACAGGGAAAGATGTACACTGCGTCTCCTGTGCAAAAGCAGCTACCCCTGCAACTCAGCCAAGGAGAGACCTTCACCACCCTCAACTCCTGCTTTGCTCCAGTGAACTCTTGTTCAAAACAGCCCCTTTCAAATCCTCCTTCTTCTCTTAAAATACAAGTTCTCTTCTTTGTTTGTTGGAGTTGCCAATGGTTTTGCCACAGCTTGCCTGTCCCAAATTGTGATTCTCTGTTATTCCCGAATAAACCCACTTTTGCTGGCACAATAATTGTTTCATTTTTAGGGTTAGCCATCCATTTCAAAAAGAATAAAGAGGCTGAACCCAGTGGGCCGGAGTCCACCACTCACTACTAATGTGAGTTCTTGGACAGGCGACTCAAGCACTCTGAACCTCGGCTTCTGCTTACAGGAAACTGTAGTAATCATACACAGTTGACAGGAGGATGAAACAAAAGGAATGTGCTTTGGAAACTACAACCTGCTGTATATATAAACATCAGGTATTTTTATGATAAACCTAATTCCAGGGCACTGCTTATCGATCAGAAAGCAATGAAGTGTTTCATTCTTAATTCATATAAAATCTTACAAAAACGATTTCTTTACGGTAGTTGTTTCAATTAAGGGCAGTTATGCCAGGGACCATTTGAAAATGTGTGCCAGCAGATTTTGTCATTTCAAGGACCTGAGGGTGGCAGGAGGTGGGGGTGGGGGTGGTTGCTGATGGGCATTTAGTTGGCAGGGGGGATATAAGATCCAAAGGATTTTCCTGCCCAAAACACTAAGAGTCCCCTCTACTTCTCCCTTGGTAAATAAACATTGATAGAAGTCATGATAATGGTCACAAGAATATAAAACATGACAACAGGAATCACCCGTGAATACTCTGTTAAGTCGAATTCCCACCATACTTTTAAGCAGTATTCACTTTTCCCCTTAAAAGCAGGAAATACTGCAATGCTTCTCTCAGTGGTAAAATCTAATCTGAAAGTGGCACATTTAAAAGTAGAAGGAAGTTTTTTGTCATGAATTCATAGCTCCATAGTTTTAAAATTCTTTTCCTCTAACTTTCAAAAACACTGAAATGTTTTATGAGCACAGGAAGCTTATAGTTAATTACTTGGGCCACTGACAGAATGAGTTTGACCAAGCAAAGTCTTATTATTTGGTTGGAGAGGGTATTGGATTATTATCGTCCAGTCTGTTAACCTCACCCAATACTCAGAGGGAATGCTAAATTAATTTCCCTTTCATCACTTGGTTGAGTTTAACAGATATTTATAGAGTGTCTGTATGTGCCGGGCGTACAAGAGATCAAGAAAACAAAGTCAAAAGGCACATTCCTAACCCTGAGAATGTGCATGGACCTAATTAATAGAATAAAGGAAAGAGGAAAAGGGGCAAACAATTCTTATAATTGCTAAGTAATAAAGGAGAGACAGTGTGGGGCAAAAGCAGTTTTATTCTACTTCCATTTAAAGAGTAAGTTTATCTGTGGTAAAGTCTGCTTTCTAATTTTATTTTATCTGTTTTATCTGTTAATATGCCAAACTTCTTGTTTACCTTGTCTATAAAGTCCTTAGAAACACACAACCACCTTACTTATGCTGATTGGCGGTTGTTTCAGAACAAGTATGAAAAATGGAACACACAAGGCATTCACTACAATCACATTCATCTCAGTGAGTTTTATATTGTGCTAATTACTAGTAAACAGGCTGCTTAATTATAGGTATGAGCCATAAAATGCTATAAAGTTAAATCGTAACGTAAATATCAGCATTCACTTTTCAGGCAAGGAAATGTTACAGAGAAACTAAGAGAACTATGTGACCCCAGAAGCAGTTCTATCCTTGCTACAAAGTAAGTACTAATCATTGTGAAGATACAACATGATCAAGCAAAACCCGAAATTTTAGGACCACTGGCTGACTTACCAGCTGTCTCCTGTTCTTCTTCCATGTTTCTGCTTTCCTCTTTGAGTTCATGTTCTGAAATGCTAATTTCAACAAGAGAGAATTGTAATTATGAGGGGAAAAACTCCACCAAAAAACAAATTCACATACATGTAAATATACTGGTTTAAGGAATGAGGAGAGGAAGAGAACTTTCAGTGCTCAACAATGCTGAATTAAACTAGCTACACTATGTCACACAGAAAAAAAGAATCAAACTTACAGAAGTCACTTGGCGGGTTATGTGTAAGGTTTCTATAGAATTCAGTCCTATGAGCTTTCTTCAATCCCGTGCATAAACCAAAATCAGATAATTTTACATGACCCTATAAAAAAATCCAGTAAAATCAAGAGATTATATTAACTTTGAAACAAAAGCCTTAAGGCGGTCATTATAAAAATTCTTAGCATTATAAAAACTCCTACAGGTGGTAAGTAAAATTATAAATATTTGATGATGACGAATGTTAAAAGTAGAAAATGGAAGAAGACAAAGACAGCCATCCTCCCTTGATGTCATTTTCACTGCCAAGTCTTTCCCGTCACATCATTCTATGACATCACATAGTTGAGCAATAATATAAATGGTAGTTGCCCATTCAATCACAAAATCAGCTCTATTATTCCATTAAAATAATCAGCAACCCAATAATTCACCAGTTTCTTCACATACCTTGGCGTCCAATAAAAGGTTGTCTGGTTTAATATCCCGATGGATGAAACCCAACTGGTGGATTGCATCAATTGCTAGAACAGTCTCTGAAATGTAGAACTGTGTCTCCTCTTCTGTCAAGGTATCTTTCTTCATTAGCAATGTCATCATGTCACCTCCATAAGGGAAACCAAATATCATGTATTAGAAACACGTCAGGCTTCCTCTGTATCTGTACAACCTCTGCCTAATTTCTGCATTGTACGACCCACCCAGTAGACCGCCAACCATCTCTAGGGCCAAGTAAAAAAAGAGTCACTGCATTAGCAAAAGTTTCACGACATCTGATGATTTTTAAGGTAGAAAGCAGGTGATAATGAAGTAATATCTACCACTCAACATCCATAATAAATTGCTGAGGAAAATATGCTGAACTGAGGAAATGAATCAGAGTAAGCACACCTGGAAATGGGATAGAGTCTTTCAAATTCAAGTTTCAAAAATGTTCAGAGCTCTTCAGTCCATCAAAAATAGAAAATTATCCCATCAAAAGACATTCTTTTATTTTCAAGGAATTTTTTCTTTAAAAAGGGGCAAAGAATAAAAAATGGTGAATTTAAAACTCAGAAATGACAACTGTTAATATTTTTTATGATACTTTGAGTCTTTTAAAAAAAATGTAGAAGTGTTCTCTGTCCTCCATCCCATTTTATTCTGCTTTCCCTTTTTGCTGAGTAACCATTAGTGTGGACTTGGTTTGGTGGGTATCCTTCTAGCTTATTTTTAAAATATGTTTTCATATACATATATCTTAATCTATGAAATTATGTTCTTTCATATTTTTTAAAAATTACATAAATGGTATCAACTGTACATATAATTCCCCAGCTTGCTTTCTTACCCCACTGTTTCTGAGATCTTATTGAAATGGATAGAGCTCCTGACTTTTAGCTGCTGTAAAATATTTCAGCACGGAATTATGCCACATTTTATTTATCCATTCTGCTGACGGACATTTATCGTGCTTATGGTTTTTCATGATCCGAACAATGCTTCTGTGGTCTCACAGGTCTCTGTGCTTGTGTCCAAGAGAATCTCTAGGGGCTACGCTAGTTCTAAAACTGCGGGATTGTAGGCCACATGCCCTTTCAGCTCCACTGGTATCTATGAACTGCTCTCCGTAAGAGTCAGAGATTAATATAGATAAAAGAGAGGCCAGTTTCTCCCACAGTCTCATCAGAAACAGGTGAAATGGTAGCTCATTTTTGTTTTAATTTGCGTTTCCCTGAGTATAAGCAGAGTTGAACATTTTCCTATGTATTTACAGGCCAGCCAGAGTTTTTCTTCTATATGTTATTTGCCCATTGGGTTGTCTTTCTCTTTAGTGACTTACTGTTCTTAACTCTAGACTTGCAACAATCTAACTAACTATACCCTGTTGACTAGACTGATACTATTTAAAATGTGCCAAATGTATTGCTCCTTCAAAATAATCTGATTTGTGGTAAAAATTAGCACTATTATGGGAGGAACTACAGGAAAACCATGACTGCTAGGAATAGAAGAAAAAACCTAAGCAACAGGATAATAATTACATGTAAAGATGAGCTTGTATCAGTCTGTCATTGCTATTATGTTTGTTTTTACCTCCAGGGAGAAATTCCATGATCAGATAAAGGTTCCTCTTATCTTGAAAACTATAAAACATCTTCACTACCCAGGCACCATCTGCTTCTACCAAAATATCTCTTTCTGCTCGGATATGGGCCACCTAGATGAATGTAGTTGGAAAAAATGATTGCAACACATTACACATCTTTCAAGTTGACCTCTTAAGAGACCCATCCAGTTCCTTAACAATCATGAAGGAAAGAGGGAGTTTTACAAAAGATGTGAAATACATACACATGTTCATATCCTCATTATATATACAGAGTCTCAGGAAATCTTTTATCTTTAGGCCTGGAAAGGTGGGATCCACAGGTATGTTACAGAAAGCTGACGCCTCTGAGGTAGGAAAATGATTAGTCCAAAACTTTCCAACCAGAATCCTTCTTCACCAAGGATCCTGGCTTTGTTATACAAATTTCAGCCCCTGGCCTTTTTTTTTTTTTTTTTTTTTTTGAATCTCAAGCAGACTCTGTGCTAAGTGCAGGGCATGATTTGGGGTCAGATCTCATGACCCTGAGATCAAAACCTGAGCCAAAACCAAGAGTCAGACACTTAACCAACCAAGCCACCAGGTGCCCCTGGTCTGACTTTTGAAAGTTAAGACTAGTAAGCAATGCCTTAACAGGTTGGTATAACAAAGTCAGGATCTTTAGCAGACTGTTTTTAACTGCTATTAGTCAAAAAAAGGGCCTTATGTGATTTTTAAACATTTGGGTTTTTTTTTTTAACAAGTAGAAACATTTATAATAACTTTGTATTATCTTGACAAATATAACTATATTATTTTCTGAAATATAAAAACCTCTATAATATCTATTAAAATGATCCACAGCAAATTAGTGTAACTTTGGGGGTTTTGCTGCTGACTTGTCAGACATACAATTACTATGGATACTTTTATATGAACATTTTATAGACTGAAAAATTTTATAAACTGAGTAATTTATTGGGTTGGTATAATCAATTTTCAGATGTTTTGCATTAATATATTTATACATTTTCTCTTCAAAGATTAACAATAATATTTGATTTTATCCTTTTGCTGTTCTTATTGTGCATTATTATGAACTCTGGCCCAAAGCACATGAGAACCCAGATTTCCTAAGCCTTTTCACAGTAATGAAATATGATCTGCTTAAAATGTCATAGTTGGGATTACTGTATTTATTACCTAGTACAATAAATGCTCTGAGATCAAAGCACAGGAAAAACAGTTGAAAACTAAGAACTTGTTTTCTGGCATGAATAAAACTTTACAATCTCTCTGGATCTGCTTCATAGAGTGAACAATGGTATCAAAATTCCTACCGATGGTTTTTTACAAAGCATTGTAAGATTAGTAAAGGAAAAACCTTAAACCTTTGATGCTGAATCTGCTGCTGTCAGGAAAAGTTATGTCATCAACTTGGCCTGATTGTTTTTAAATATCTTGAAGTTAGATGACAGGATGTTTTTAAAATGGGTCTATGTTTTCAAAGAATAGGAAGTTATCACACATAGTACCACAATATCAGGGAAATAAGTTGCTACTTTGTGGACTGGTTAGTATTAAAGTAAATGTAATTAAAAACTTCACATAATAACATATTAGAATTGAATGGGAAAAGGTTTCCTAAAATGAAATTCAGGGGTTGCAAATGCAGATTAAAGGGGCCAAAACAGACTTGATGTTTGGGCTCCAGTGAGATTTTTCCCTGCATTCAGGAATGAACAGTGATCAGAAGCTCTTCAACTTCTGGCAAAATATTCTAGATTAGTGCCGTCCAAAAGAAATACAATGCAAGCCACAGACTTAGTTTAAAATTCTCTAGTAACCACTTAAAATATAAAAAGAAACAGGTGAAATATTTTTAATTATATATAGTTTATGTAACTCCATGTACCCAAAATGTTATCATTTCAGTACATAATCAATATAAAAATTATTGAGTTTTCTTTGGTAGGAAGTCTTCAAAATTTGATATATATTTGCCATTTACAGCATATCTCAATTCAGACTAGCTACACCCAATAGCCACATGTGGCTAATAAGCTGAAGACTATAGCTGGAACAAACTGCTCCTTTTGTCCCTTTTCCAAAACCCTATCCAGGACTAATCCCATATGGCTTGGTTAGATCCTGTTTATCTCTTTGTCTCTGAGGTTCTACATCTTGACCCAGACCTTTATTCTTACCATTATCTGTAATTCTCTAATACACTGTAATACTTCGACCTTCCTTGAGTTCCAAACCAGCCTCTTCCCTATGGAATTGGCATGTCTTCAAAAAAGTCCTCTATCATCTCACCTCTGGACAGTTCCTTCACCTTGTCATCCTAATTGATGATTCTTCTCATCAGGCTGTTGACAGTTCTGTCTCCCTGCACAGTGAGCTCTCAAGAATGATCTGTTCTCCTCTCATGCCTTATGTGGCGTGGGGGTAGGTTTTCTGCTCATTCTCATGCTGCTTCCATACCACTGTGACACTCTTCTTCTCCACAGTTCCTTGAAGTGCACACTGTGAAACTCCATCAGCCATCATCTATCCTCATGGCTATCGTTTACAGAGCTCCTGGGCAATTCCTCTCACTCACTCATAACTTCAGCTCCTGGCTATCAACTTCCTTTCCAGTTTCTCCATTCATGGATAGATTTCAACCTCCATAAGGGTGAACCATCAAATGCCCTATCTACTGACTTCTTCCTTGTCTACAATGATCTCTTCTGCCTCTGCACCTCAGCCACCCATGGTAGTTGTCCTAGCCTTCTCATTAGCTAAAACTGTACCCCCTCTAAAATCTCCATTTTGAGGAACTCTATTTCCACCTTTCATCTTCCAGATCTCTTATTCTTATATTTCAATCTCCCTTCCATGGATTCTACAACTTTTTCTCTATTACTCTCCTCATAATCTCGTATCTTTTTCTACCCAGCCTAGATTTCATCATTATAATCACTCTTTTTGCAAACACTCTGAACTCCCTCATCCCCTTCCTCCCTTGTATTTGCCTGGCAAAACACCAACCCTAATTAGACTCAAATTTCTGTCTATTCTCTACCTACCCCAGAGCAACTAAGTATTCTACAGAAAGGTCACCCAACTATGCCAACTGGTTTCGTGGTACATTTATGACTGCAAATCTCAACAGGCATTCAACTGTATTTCCCTGGCAAGTCTGCTTTCCCACCCTTTAAGTCAATAGTTGTGACTATTTCACAAATTCTCCCTCTTCATGCCTCCAGCAAGCTATCCGTCCCTCCTCTACTCTGAGATGATGACCTCACTTATTTGCACTCAGGCAGAAATATGGTACCTGAGGCTGCTAGGTCAACCACCTGCATTTGTTCCCATTTTCTCTGCCTCTTCTTCCTGTTTTAATGGATAGGTACACGTACACTCCTATCAAAGATCAACTCTTCTTTTTCTTTTTTTTTTTTTTAATTGTATTTATTTATTTGACAGAGAGAGAGAGAGAGTGAGCAAAAGCAGGGGGAGAAGCAGGCAGGGGGGGAGAGGGAGAAGCAGGCTCCCTGCTGAGTAAGGAGCCTGACACAGGGCTCGATCCCAGGACCCTGAGCTGAAGGCAGAAGCTTAACCCACTGATTCATCTAGGCACCCCAACTCTTCTGTCTTCCAGTGTATTCCTATAGTTATCCTCCCTTCTCCTGGACCTTCAATTTTTTTTTTTCTAATGCATTCTTCTCATCAGAATCAAAACATTTCCTGTCTTTAAAAATAAAAAGAAAATCCTTTTTACCTTAAGTCTCCCTTTATAAATCTGTTCTTTGTTCTGCCTCACATGAAAGATTTATTTGCACTCACATTCCCCACTCTTTGCTTTCCATTTTTCTATCTCACCATTTCAGTTAGGCTTTTGCACTGCAAACCACTAGAAATGCCCTTGCCAAGTTATTAAAAATCTCTATATTGTGACATCCACTGGCTTGTCTTCCTCTTGTACTCTCTTAGCAGCATTCAGCTATGTGGAACACTTTCTTCTCTTGGCTTCCATGACACCATGTTCTCTCAGTTTCCCCCACCTAATTAGATGTTCCCTCTTGGTCCCTTTTGCTGGCTTCTCTTCTGCCTTTTGTTTCCTAGGGCTTGTATATAGGCCCTCTTTCCTTCTCTATCTAGTTTTCTAGGCAATTTCATCTTGTCCCCAATAGATGGTCAATATATTGATGGCTTCCAAATTATATATCTAGAGAAACTTCTCTCCAGATTCCAGCAACTGTGAACTCAATATCTCTTGGATCTAACAGGCAGCTCAAACTCAATATGCCACAAGGAGAACTCCTCATTCCCGCTATCTCCAAATGTTCTTTCTTCAGTCTTTTCTAAATCAGAAAACACCACTATCATGTATCCCATTCTTAAATGAAACTCTAGGTATTATCCTGATTCTTCCATTTTTTCCTCACTATCCTCACCCATCCTCTCATCCCCCAATGTACAGGACACCACAGGAAATCCTGCTGGCTCTTCCACTAAAACATATACTTAATCTGTCAGACTCTTCTTCAGCTTCTCTACTGTGAGCTACAATCCTATCCTGGCTGAAAGTGGTTCACCAGTTTCTAAATCACCTTCTCTGCTTCACTTCTTGTTTTCCCCATCAGCAAGCAAAGGGATTGATTCATCTTTGTAAAACCTCAATCAGACATACCATTCCCCTGTTCAAACAAAAGCGTCTTCCCACTGCATTTAGAATAAAACCAAAACACTCTATCTTGGCCTTCTCTCCGATCTGCTCCCTTTCTACCTCTCCTACCATTCTTTGTGCACTGAATTCTAGCCACAATGGCTTCTAGCCTCAGGACCTCTGCATTTGTGTCTGGATATTTGTTCTACATGATCTTTTCTGTCATTCTTTCTCATTATTCCATCTTTCATCAAATATTCTCTCTTCAGAGAAACACTCCCTCATCTAATTCTTCCTCCTAAAGCTTAGATCATCTGCATCAGTTTATCCTTTTGTACAAACTTTCTTTGTAGTCTTTCTCAATCATGACTATTTGAGATAGTTGTCTGTGTCCCCAGTACTAGAAAAAAATAAGGATCAGGTTTGTCCTGTTAATCCCAGCTATGTGTTAATCTACAATACTACAGGCCCATCTGGCACATCATTGGCCCCCAGTAAATACTTGCTGAACACAGAAAATAGAAATAAAGTGAAAGAATGTAGTGAAAATTCAAGGTGGGTCATATTTGAATAAAAATAAATATTATACTGCCATAGTAACTATAGAAGCTTTAGGCGGGACTTTCCTCAGCTGCTGCTAAGGTGCTGACTCCTTCTGAGGAAGCCAGGACAGAGCTGGGTGAGACCCTCACTTCCTCTGGTGACTAGCACTGTGTGGGTACAGCACTCTGCCTCTGTCTTTGGCTTGCTACCAGCATCTATCTACTCAGCCCTCATCCTCCAGTCACAGAGGATAAGATCAATGCCCTCATCAGAGCAGTGGGTGTAGAAGCTGAACCTTTCTGGCCAGGTTTGTCTGCAAAGGCCCCTGGCCAATGTCAATATCAATATCCGGAGCCTCATCTGCAAACAAAGGGCTGTGGACCCACCGCAGAAGGAAGTCCTGCTCCCTCCACCGAGGCTGCCCTGGCTGAGGAAAAGGAATTGGAAGCAAAGAAAGGAGAATCCGAGGAGTTTGATGAGGACCTGCAGTTTGGTCTTTTTGCCTAAACTTCTTCTGTAACTTGTTCAGTCAAAAGCTGAACTCTGAAGTAAGCTTTAGACAGGGACTGAAAGACTGAAGGAGAACATTAGGTAGAGAGAGGGGCCATCCTCCCTCTATATCCGGTTGTTGAGACCTGCCCTAACATATGTAATCCATTTAGGGTTCTATAGAGCCTCTATCCAGACTAGAAACAGAGGGGGAACACATAAATAATACTATTGATGTTCTCGGATTTATGGCCCACCCTTAAGTTACATTAAGTCATAGGAAACATAGAGAGTCCAGGAGTATGACATTGGGGGAGGGGGTGGTTTACAGATTTTGGAAATGTGTTAAATCAGCAACTTCTCAGGAGACTGCTCTTGCTTATATGTGATAGGGATTAAGGAAACAGAACTGTCCCTTATTTTCACTGAAGTCAGAAAAGAAGGTATTTTGTTATGGAGTAAACGTTTGTGTCCCCTGGCCCAAATTCCCGTGATGATGAACCCCCAGGTGACTGAATGTGGAAGTGGGGTCTCTAAGGAAGTGATTAGGTTAGGTGAGGCCAGAGAGGGAGAGGAGGATAGCATCCTTGTAGGAAGAGGCACCCAAGCACTCTTGTTCTCTCTCTGTGCACACACCAAGGACAGGCTATGTGAGGACCTGGTGGGAAGGCAGCCATCTGCAAGTCAGGAAGACTGATTCACTGGACTCAAACCCTGCCAGAACCTTCATCTTGGGCTTTCAGCCCCCAGAACTGTGAGAAAATAAATTTCTGTTGTTTAAGCCACCCAGTCTGTGGTATTTTGTTATGGCAGTCTGAACAAGCTAATACAGTTTCAGATTATAAATTTGGAAGAAATTTTAGCGATAAGAATTGAGAAACAATAAAACAGGCTATCAAAAAATTAATAGACTCTATACAGTAAGATGTGTAGGCTTCTTTTTACAAATTCCAATATTAACATTTACTCTAACACCTAGTCAGTGGTATTCCTTTTGGTTGTATGTTAAAAGAACTCATACCTGCTCTTTTTCAAGCATATCAGCTTTTCTCAATATCTTCATTGCATAGATATGGCCTGTATCTTTCTTCTGGACCAGCCGCACCTAGAATGTAAAAATTGACCATGCTATCAATGTTATGCATTCCCTATTATTGATTTAGGAACAAAAGGTAAGTTCTTTTAAAGAGATCAGTGTTGCAATTCACCACTGCTTATATTTTTAGGAATTCTTAATATTAAACTATTCTGATACATTAAGCTATTTTAATACATATTAGCCTATTGGAATACATATGTTAAACTATCTAAAGCTATATATTTTCAACAGCAGTGCCTTTAAAAAAGAAGTAACCTCTCCAAATGCTCCTCTTCCTATAACTTTCAGGGACTCAAAGTCATCCAGGCCAAGTCTGGTCCTCTTGAGCCGTAAGAACTCTGTTTCCTTTCGGGCATGTTGTGATCGGCGTAATTTTTTCTATCAAAAAAAGACAATTTAAAAGGATGATTCTAAATTTAGATTGCTATAAAGGAAGCCTGTAGTATTAAAAGAAAAGACATGTAAAATGGGGATGAAGTATCTTAAATATTATATACTAGTGTTAGAACTTATTTACCAAAGTTGAGTATTTGTTAAGCTTGGAAAGAATAAAACAATCTAAAGAAAACATTTTTTATTTTCACCAATTGATAAATCTTTATTCTTGAGGTGGACTCCACTAAATATTTCATCTTAATGAAGTTCATCTTATATGTCATGTATATGCTAACTTAATTCATAAAGAAAAGTTAAGCTTCAGGAAATGCTAATTGTATTCTGATCATGAATTTTACCATCAGGCAATCTACTTTGCTTCAATTCTCTAATTTCCAGGTTGTTCTGTCACAACTACTGAAACTTAGGACACCAAGAGAACACCACAGCAGTGTTTCCATGGAGATTTACTTATGATAGAATTTTTTCTCAGATAAATTTTAATAAATTGCTTTGAGATTTGGCACACAACTTCCTAAAAATATGAGATTACAAAATAATAATAATTACATGAAGAATTCATTAAGATAATCAAGTCAGGAATTTCATAATGCGCTTTCCAAAGATCGCCAAAAAATAACTAACGCTGATAAAAAACATTATGAAATACCTGAAGGTTACATTTGGAAGGGACATTCACTTTATTGTTCTAAATGTCATTTTTCCCCTGACCAAAAAAAACTCTGTTGACATTCTGTTAGTTCCCAGTAGAGGTCTCATATATTAGGAATTAAACAAAAATAAAAAAGTTAAGCACCTGTTCACTGTTAACTGAACACCACCAGGCTTTCAAGAGTTCCATTCTGAGGGAAAGTCAAGTTGAAGTGACCATCTTAGCTCAGAAACACTGCTTTGTACAAGGTATAACCACTGAATGGTGTCTTACTATTCCTGTATATATCTATTTTCAAAAAGGTATGGCAAACTATCAATTAACTGGAAATGGGTAAATGTGCATCACCAGTGCAATGGAAGTCTGATACTTCCAATAAAATTAATCTAAGAAGATGCGATCAAGAAATTATATCCTCAATTTAAACATCTTTAAACAGATGAATGAAGTTACGCACACAGGCACATCAATGGTGGAAACAGTGATGACTATTTTTTGGTTCAAAAATGCCCACTAACGGGGCGCCTGGGTGGCTCAGTGGATTAAAGCCTCTGCCTTCGGCTCAGGTCATGATCCCAGGGTCCTGGGATCGAGCCCCACACCGGGCTCTCTGCTCCGCGGGGAGCCTGCTTCCTCCTCTCTCTCTGTCTGCCTCTCTGCCTACTTGTGATCTCTGTCTGTCAAATAAATAAAATCTCTAAAAAAAAAAAAATGCCCACTAACTTGTGGAGCATAAGAAATAACACAGAGGACATGGGGAGATGGAGAGGAGAAGTGAGACACTGGACTCTGAGAAACAAACAGGGTTTTGGAGGGGAGGGGGGTGGGGGGTTAGGTGAGCCTGGTGGTGGGTACTAAGGAGGGCACATATTGCATGGAGCACTGGGTGTGGTACATAAACAACGAATCTTGAGACACTGAAAAAATAAAATAAAAAAATTTTTTTAAAAGCCCATTGAATAGTTGTTTTTTTTTTTAAATAACTGAATTACTATAGTAAAACAAAAGAGCCCCAAATAGCAGCTTATTTTAAGACTAATTAAAAAGGCCACATGGTGGCACTATAGTATCATGTCTTTCAAGCAGCAAAGAGGTTGGGGGGGTTATTACATAAATGAATAAATGTAAGAATTTTGAAACTCTGGGTTTCTGATTTGTGGAGTATAAAATGGAGTACAGTTGGGTGTCGTTTCAGAAACTTGTTTAATCTGAATGGAAAAGATGATCTCATTACATCCATAATCATGCTCAAAATCAACAGGAGAGAGGCCACTAAAGAAAATAATGTTCACTAATATTTAATAGCTTGTGTAATGCAGCAAGTAAACAATGTTTATGCAGTCTGGGGCACAGCTATTTAATGGCAAAAAGGGAGAATCACAAGTATAGGGATCACATAATTCTATAAAAATGGGACCACACTATAACATTGTTACATTATTTTTTTAAAAATTCACATTTTTTAAAGATTTATCTATTTTTATTTTAGATAGAGAAAGAGGGGGTATAGCAGTGGGAGAGGCAGGGAGAGAGGAGAAGCAAACTCCCCACTGAGTGGAGCCCAAGGCCCCAAAACCCTGAGATCATGACCTGAGCCAAGACCAAGAGCCCAGCGCTTAACTGACTGAGCCACCCAGGTGGGCCCCCCGACCATGATATTAGTCTTAAAATCGGTGTTGCAGTTCAGAGGGAGGCGAAGCAAGCTAGCATTTAAAAAATATATTGATGAAGCACCTGGGTGGCACAGTCGGTTAAGCATAGGACTCTCTGTTTCCATTCAGGTCGTGAACCCCGTGTAGGGCTCTGGGCTCAGCTTGGAGACTCTCTCTCTCTTCTCCCTCTGTCCCTCCTGCACATGCGCTCTCTCTCTTTCTCAAATAAATAAGTAAATCTTAAAAAATATATTGATGACATGATGAGCACTGAGTATATAGAATTGTTAAATCACTATACTGTACACCTGCAACAAATCTAACACTGTATGTTGACTATACTAGGAATTAAAGAATAAACTCAAAAAATATATTGATAAAAAAAGCATGTTGATGTATCTGCTCATGACTTGTGTAGATTAAGTAGCCCTGAAAAACAAATAACATTTTTGTAGTAATCATATTCTCTTTTGCCAATGAGAAAAATCTGTGGGCAGGCTTAACATTTCATGGCTCCCTTTTGCAGCTTAAATTTGTTTATTTTGTTTTCCTATTAGAGTGTATAATATTCCATGTCTGATGGGATTTTCTTAAGTGAGATGAAACCAGACATGCATCGTTTTCTTCCTTTCTCCATTCGTTTTTAAATGGGTAATCCTCAGATTCTCCATCTGTGGGATGCTCAGTTTTTATACCAGACAGACAGTGTACACAGAAGTTCTGAGATAGGAAAGAGTTCAGCTGGCAACTTCATCTCCATATATCCTCTACATGACCATAGTACATGGTTTAATTTTCACAAGTAACTTTCACAAATTATTTTACAAAGATTTTCTATTATGAATGAATTAAGGATAAATACTAGCTTTCAATTTAAAACTAGATTTTTATAAAACAATTTTATTTTTAAAAAATCCACCGCAGGGCATCTGGGTGGCTAAGTCAGTTAAGTGTCTGCCTTCAGCTCCGTTCATGGTCTCAGGGTCCCAGACTGGGCTCCTGTATCAGAGGGGAGCCTGCTTCTTCTTCTTCCTCTGCCCCTCCGCCAACTCGTTTTTTTTTTTCTCTCTCTCTCTTTCAAATAAAAAAATAAAATATTTAAAGAGAAAAATCCACCCCACAAAATGATAGTTGCAACATATTTTATATCAAGGTTAAGAGAGGATGTCTATTTTGTAGAATTTGCCATGATCTAAGACCTAGCATGGGGCCTAATAATAAGCACTTGTGGAATTAAAATTTAAAAAATTTAGAAGTTTTATAGTTATTATGGGCCACTAACTGTTTTTAGGTATAAATCATATCACATTTTCTCCAAGTTAATTAGAAGAATTAAAGAAAATAGCTCTAAATGTATTTTCTCCTTCCTGGTGGAGAACAGAGATTGCAAACTGAAAGCTACTTATTGTATTCAACCTACAGATGTATTTGATTTTGCCTACAAGTTGCTCTTAAAACACTTGAATTATTCGCCAATATTTTAAAAAAGCAAATGATGTCACATAAAAGTCCAGATTTCCAGCCTCTCTTGAAAAACAGGAACTTGGCCACACTGGGCCAAAGAGGCAGTCAGTCCTCTTTTGATGGACATCAGTTCTCTAATTGATGCCAGTCATCAGGTGACATGTAGAACTGGGCTGGTGCTCCTGTCTCTTTTCAGTAAAGTGAAAAGGGATATGTCTTTATCAAAAGATAAACTGTGAGGATCCGATATTTTAAAAAAAGAAAAAAAATAGAGTCTATTTCTTTGTAGAAATCAAAATATATTCTTGGGAGTTGAACGTGCAAACAAAGTGTGTTGGATCAAAAGAATATATAACCTAAGATATCATGAAAACAATCCAGCCAGCTTCCCTCACTCATGTTATCTGCTTGACCCCCGAGCATCTATTTTTATAATTTCTCCCTTAAGAATTCAAATTAAGATCTTTTGCTTAAGATTCATTTATATATATAATGTTTCTTCAAATATAAAGATGTATAATATGCATTAATACAATTATAAGATTGTTAATAATAAGGAAGTTATTAATACTAATGAATAAATGAGAAAAGGTGTGTGCTTCGCTTTATTTTTTCTTTATTGACTGTAATATAGATCTAAATCACTACCTTTCTCCTTAAAGTTTAAAGAATATAATAAAATGAGTTTTAAGACATTTATCATAGTAATTTTATGCAAATAATTTAGGTTTTCTATGCTGAGTCAACTTGATTAACAAAGTAACCACATTTGGTACAAATCATAAAATGTTTTATTTTATTTAAACAGTGCCAGCAGAAAAATAAAGGAACAGTCTTAGGAAAGGTACAGGAAAGATTAAATAATGGTTTGATTTCAAGTCATCATTTGGAAGATCACTCTTAAAGTACAGAAATTCTTTTCTGATCACTGAAAACTGCTAAACTGATTACTCGCAGTTGTATCTCCCTATTGCCTGTACATTTCTTAGTAAACTACTACCAGCCTAGCCTTTCCATATGTTCTGTCAATTTACCTTGCTGTGTCCTTTACTGCATTCTTTATAGTTCATTGTTCGGCAATTATTTTCTATTTATCTCTTAATTTAATGTAAGTCTCCCTATTTTTCTAAGATTCAAATCAGTTGTTGCCTCTTCCATGAAACCTTTTCTGATCCCTGTATTAAAAAATCCCTGTATTTTCGAAGTTTGCCACATTCTATCGTGTATACGTATTTTTATGCACACACAATCATCATCACTCCTTCTAACTGGTAAACTCCTGGAGGGAAAGGCCATTGTTCCTTTATTCACCAAATATTTATTCTATCTGTAGCCCTCTGCCGTGTCTGGAGGTGTAAAGCTGAATAAGACATCATGAAGTGTCTACTGTGGGAGGGGATATTTTAGCGCTGCCGCAGGGACAGGAACAGTGGTCGTGCAGAACGTAGGGAAGATTTCCCCGTGGAACTGAGGCTTGAAGTGAGGCCCAGAGCTAACTGAAGAAGAATGAGAATTGCATAAGGGTAAAGAAGTTCTAAGTGGCAGAAATAGCCTGTGAAAGGTCCACAGGCAAGAACGTGGAAGTCAGAGTAACCCAGTAGTGACATGGGGCATTGGGCTGGGGCACAAGCAATGAGGCTAGGCTGAAACCGCAGAGACCTAAGTGTGAAGGCTCCTGCACTCATCTGAGAGTACTTGGGACCCAATAACGGGTAATAAGCAAAAGAATGATGGGATCAAACCTGTTTTTAGATACAGAACTCTGGGTGGAGTGTGCAGAAAAGCTGGGGGTGGGAGTGGGGCCCAGACTGCAGGAAGAGAGCCCAGCTGGGGGCAGTTTTTCTTCAAGTGAAACACATAGTAATTTAAAGATGGGGAGAGGCACTGGACTAGAGAACTTGATGGTCTTAAGAAATGTTCAGGAAAAACTGTGAGAAGATTTGGCAATTCACTGATTCTTCTTGGAGCCTACTTTTCCTGTTCCGTGCACTTAGGTTACTGTAGACCCTGTTCACTAAATCTATGTTCTCAGAATTGAAACGATAAAAAGCTGCCTCCTTTTAAAGATTTTCATCATAGCAAGAAAGTAAGAAGCCCATATTCAAATGATGAAATCCACATTACCTAAGTTATAAAATCATCTAATATCAATACATGAAAAAAGTCACTGGGGTTGTCATTATCCAGTAATTAGTCCCTTCCCCAATAACTTGCTTGGGATACAACTGACATACATATAACACTGCAAGTTTAAGGTCTACAGTGTGATGTTCTGATGCACATACATATCATGGAATGATTACCACAATAAGGCTAGTTAAAATACCCATCACCTCATATAAGTACTTTTTTTTAATAGTGAGAACAGATAAGATCCACTCTTAGTAACTTTTAAGTACACAGTATCATTAACTATAGTCACAATAATTACAGCTAACATTACCTCTTCATCTGCTAATCCTTCCTCTTCCATGGCCACTTCTAATTTCTTCTGCCTTTTCAAAGAAAAAATAATTTAAATTTTAAATACATTCCTAACTATTCCCATTTAAGAAATGTTCATTTATTTATTCGAGTTTACCACTTCAGTTTGCTATGCTAAAAAAAGATATCTCAAGTTGAATCAAAATAATCATTAAGAATACTTTCCTTTCTCAAAATATAAATCCAACCCAGATTTCACTTTCTCATATTGGCCAAATGAAAAATTTGCTTCTAATGCTGCTTAAATCAATGATTAACAAAGGTGACCAATATTCTAGTAAGGAAAATCTGTTCTCTAATATGCAAACCACCAAAATCATTAACATTTATCAGTGTTTACATTAGAAGTATATAAAAGTAACTATAGTGACTAAAAGTACAAATATGTTAGGTGGATATCCCTGTTTGAACCCTGATTCTAATACTTAGTAGCTAAATGAGCTTGTGGAAGGCCTTCATTTAAAGTCTAAGCTTGGGGCGCCTGGGTGGCTCAGTGGGTTAAGCCACTGCCTTCGGCTCAGGTCATGATCTCAGGGTCCTGGGATCGAGTCCCGTATCGGGGTCTCTGCTCGGCAGGGAGCCTGCTTCCCTCTCTCTCTCTCTCTCTCTCTCTCTCTGCCTGCCTCCCTGTCTACTTGTGATCTCTCTCTGTCAAATAAATAAATAAAATCTTTAAAAAAAAATAAATAAAGTCTAAGCTTGATTTCATAATCAGTCAAGAAAAAATGTTCAATGCAATGAGTGTATTTTATTCTAATTCTTTGCAAACTGTACATTAAAAAACCCCCACTAACCACCAGAGCGTTTGCTTTTCTAGGTACAGCCAAGTCCAGTTATTCCTCGTTTTTAGATGATATCACCGAAGTTAGCCAAGCTAAGCACTGCGGGGAGATGGGGAGGAGAAGGGAAAGGGCCAGCGGATGAAGGAACCAGTAACTACAGAGGTGGTTGTGATACAAATTTTGCAACTTATTTCCAACTGAATATTCATCATTTTACTTCTATCATATTGGTTTTGCCTAAAGATAAACCTGAGAGAGCTCTTTCTGATTAGTTCTGTAGTACGTTAGAGTAAGACTAACTTTCCAGGATTTACCTACATGGGAATACAAGGGTTGTGGATTGAAATCATCATATACATTTTTTAGCATTTGTCATTTACAATATGTCTAAAGGTAAGCTCTTTCCTAATCCCTTATTCTTACAGAAAATTCATAAAAATATCTAATGGCTGTTCATCAATCAGTACCCCAAAGGCAATGAATGATACCTAATGGCATGTTCTCTGGCTACTTCTCCAACATTTGTAATAGACACCTTGGTGCGTTATCACACTGATTTTTATCTTTCATTTACACACTATTCTCTGAAGCCTAACCCTCAGAACGGAGTAAGCTCTGTGCCCACCATCATGTTCCTCTGGGCCCCACAGAGCCACTTGTTGAATGATTCTGAGTTTTCTCCTCGGCAGAGAGAATGCACAGTGGAGGAGAACTTCTAATCTGGGAGGGCCCGTTTGCATACAGGCAACTTGATTCTCCCAAAACTCCACTGCCCCCTTTCCTCACTGCTTGCCAAGACTAACACTTCAGGGAATCATCCCTTACTCTGGAGAGAGAGGCAGTAACCTTCGTCTGTTTCTACCATTCTAAACAAGAAGACCTGTGGCTTCTCTGGTACCTAAAAAGAAAATAGTCTTCCTCCTAAATGTCCTGATACTTTGTTCTGATTGGTACTTTATTTGGGCTATGTATTTACTCAATGAGTTAAGCCTTAAAAATTCATCACATGTAGTCCTAAAGTATAAGCTTTTAGAAAATACAAGCTGTTTAATATGACTTCCATGGCACCAAGCTGAGACTGCTTTTTTTTCCCCCCTCTCTTCTTGAAATAACAGCAGATACTTTCAGTCTTACTTCCCTTTGTTTGGAAAGAGGGCAAAACTGAATTACTGAAAGATTTCATCAAGAAAAGACAATGAGGGGCGCCTGAGTGGCTCAGTGGGTTAAGCTGCTGCCTTCGGCTCAGGTCATGATCTCAGGGTCCTGGGATCGATTCCCGCATCGGGGTCTCTGCTCGGCAGGGAGCCTACTTCCCTCTCTCTCTCTCTCTGCCTGCCTCCCTGTCTACTTGTGATCTCTCTCTGTCAAATAAATAAATAAAATCTTAAAAAAAAAAAAAAAAGAAAAGACAATGAGCCTTCAAAATTCTGATGCGTAACTTCAGTGTCTGCCTCCTGAAACAGCAGTCTTTCTCTCCCTGATTCTCTTCTACTTTGTTCGCTCTCCCTTGGTGACTGGATGAATTCCAGAGACTTTCACTGTATTTACAATTAGTATAATTACTCATATGTTTGGATTCATTTCTAACTGATTGTGTGGTTTCTATTTGTGTCAACTTTTTGGCGTTTTACACTTTCTTTTTCCCTTGCCTTATTTTGAACCAGGATTTTTTCCTCATTCCATTATTTCCCTTCTACTAGTTTGGAAGTTATAAACTCTATTAGTCTGAAATGAATCAATCTTTACCTCTCTGTATGTTGTGCCTCTACTGCGGTGACACAAAGATCTCTAGGAACACTTTAATGATACTTACTGCCCTCCTGACTGATAGTCCACTGCTGGAAAATATCTTAATTCTATTTTAAAAAATGTATAAAACATTATCATTATTGCTACTGTTTTTACACCATTTGTGTTGAGATTTATCGCCACACTTATATTTAGATCTGCTTGTGATCACTTTCTTTCAGCCTAAATTGAATCTTCTGGAAGTTTTGCTGATGGTGAATTTAGTTTAACCTGCTTCTACTCCAGCCTCTTTCCTCTCTTCCTTTAGGAACTTAGGTTAAAGATGTTAGCTCTCCTTGCTATTCTCCATATTTCTCAACTCTCCTTCCTCTCTTTCTGCCTCTGTGTCTCTAGGTTAACTTCTGAATAATTACTTAAGTTTTATTTTCTAGTTCAATTCTCTGCTCAGCTTGGCTGATCGGTAGTTAGACCTGTCCAACATTTCATACCTAGCTAGGCACCGCTTTTGTCAATCTTTCTTGCTCCTAATTTCTATTCTATTGTTGTCACGATCCTTAATTCAAGCCCTTTCTAAGTGCCTGCACTACACATCACTAGCCTTTCCTGTTTCTTATCTCTCCACACACAATCCAGTCTGTACATGACAACTAAAGCACTTTTCTGGAGAAATACCGTGATCACGGATTCTGCTCAAAAATCTTCAGGCCTCTTTACTCCCATGAGAACAGCTACATTAGCAAAGCATCTTAGGCTCACAAGGAAAGCTGAAATCCAGCTTGAGCTAGACTGGTTCTTGCTTGACCCAGCACCAAAGGCCATTTCCTCTGTCGGTATTATCCTTCCTCCTGCTCTTTTATCTCCCTCTTCTCCCATTAATGCATGTGTAATTAATACTCTTCCTTGAGAGCCCTGATAAATGCCACCACCATTTATGACATCCTCCCAGTTACTTTAGTCAAAAGCAATCTCTCCCTTCTTTGCCCTTCTCTTAGTGATGCTTTCCACTCTTTCATGTAATATTTATGGGCCTTATCTCCCTCTTGAGAGTTTTCTGAAGGCAAAATAACACATTGTTCATGTTTTTATTCCTCCACCTCCGCTTATACTCTATACATGTTTTGGATAATTAATAACATTAATTATTCATAAAGTATGAAGATAAATCATAATTTCATGGTTAGAAATGTTTTACTGAAGGTATTAGTTGACATGATTTAAGTATATGGAGGCACAGGACAAGAAAAATTCTGCAAAAATAACTAGAGAAACTGTCAGTACAGGAAACCTAAAAACAGCATACATGGATCTATAATATTTATATTATTAGTGTTAATTATATTATTATTATTATATTAATTATAATATTAATAAACATTTACACCCTACTTACAACCTAACGGCTTATTAAACCAAACAGAAAATTCTGACCAGCCTTTACTATACCTGGTTTCTCTCTCTTCATGCTGTAGAATTAGGTTGCTGTAAAAATTCTCCAACGTGAGCTTGGCCACGGTCACCCTCTCCCGGGTATGGTTGCTCATAGGAAAGGTGCTTGTAGTCCCTGCCGTCATTGCCATAGTAACCGAAACTGAAACAACATATAAACACAAATTGTTCAGTAGAAAAACACTTTCTAACCCTCATAATAAACTCTGGAGATGGTTTAATTTCTGCTAAGCAAAATTCTACCCTAACAGTTATGCTATCCAATTCTTTCACATTATAAATAACACAATACCAGTAAAGAAAGAGGAAGCAGCAGCAATTATTTTCGTGTTGGCACCACCAGGGGTGAATAAGAGTCAAGAAGCACCAGTCCACACACAACATGGACACATTTTATACAAAAAGTTGTACTCAATGAGCATTCAAAACAAGAGGTTCGATCTATTTTGTTGTTGTTTTATTGATCACTAAGTAAAATCTACAAGATTTTGTTACTGCATATGCCTGCACTAAACATAAGTCTCTGCAGAATTAATGTAGTCCAGTTAAATAGTAAGAAGTAGTGTCCACCATATAAATTCTAGGAAACATGAAGCAGTTTATCAAATCTGCACACAAATGTCAATCTGAAGCAATTCTCACATATATAGGCTTTGCAGGTAAACTACCTTTTTTTTTTTTAAAGATTTTATTTATTTATTTGACAGACAGAGATCACAAGTAGGCAGAGAGGCAGGCAGAATGAGAGGAAGGGAAGCAGGCTCCCTGCCGAGCAGAGAGCCCGATGCGGGGCTCGATCCCATGACCCTGGGACCATGACCAGAGCCCAAGGCAGAGGCTTTAATCCACTGAGTCACCCAGGCACCCTTGCAGGTAAACTACTTCTAAAAAGAAGCTCCTTTGGATGGAGGCCCTATTTCAGTCAATCCTATTTCATTTCAGAATGTTGTGTAACAAGGTCTGGTGTACTTCTCCAGACTGTGAGGTCCATTTCATTTCCAAATGACACTTAAATGCCCATAGGAGTCAAGCAGAAAACACAAATGAATCAAGCCAGGTAACACCAGGGATGTTTTAGGACCTTAAGTGGGCAATGTGTGTCTACTTAAAGCTCAAGTGCCAACTTCAAAAAACCACGGGCCAGCCAAATGAAGTACTGGTTTGAAGAAGATAATCTGGACAATAAGACAAGGACTGTAGCAAAATGGCTGCTTTGTGGGGGTGGGGAGGCAGACTGAACTGTGGTGGCTGCTGCTGGTGGGCAGTGACCCTAAGAGACTTGTCTCCTACAGTCTACAGTCTACATCAGGACCAAAAAAGACTAGAATGGTTTCATACAGTAAAGAGGTTTTTGCTTATCTAGATGGAGATCATAACAGACCTAGAGAAGATCCAGATTGCCAACAGTGAGCATCCAATATTGCACTATTAGCTGGAAAGCATTCCCCCAAACCTGACATCTACTCCCTAACTATGTGAAGATACAGACCCCTGAGTATGGACCTGAACTGCAGTAGACTCCAGGGTTAATGGAATGAACAAAAGACCTTTCTTGTTCCTCAATGTCAAGCGAGTCAAGTATAGGTTGAAAGTATACAATTTAACTGACAAATTCCCGGTTCTACTTCCCTTTTACTGGCTTTATACCTCAATGTACTGCATAAGCCTCAACATCAGTATGTCTAAACATGAATCTATTCTTTTAGCCTTACAAACTTGTTCCTCTGCTGAGTACTCCAAAGGTTTTTAGAACTAGAAGTTGATTATGTCACTCGTTTAAAATCATTCACGTGTCCTCATTGCCTATAGCAAATCAAATTAGCTTGGCATGATAAACAAAGGCAACTCGGGGACACTGAATGGTTGTGCCTATCAGCAATTGTATGATATCTTATTCACTGATTTCTCCTTTTTTCTCCAGAGGATTTAAGAGAGTGGCCCTTCCTAAGCATGAGTGCGTCTCCTCCTCACAACAGCCCTGCAAAGTAAGGAACTGAGGCTCAGAAAAATCCCAAGGCTAGTGTGTCGTGGAGTCAGGATCCAACTCCAGGAGCTGTCTCCAACTTGTCTGTTTAGCCTCTCTACTGCCCCGCCCCCACCCCTCTTCTCCCAACATACCAGCTCTTTCCTGCCTCCAAACCCTTGCATGATCTATCCCCAACCACTTCTGACCTTTAAGACCCAGTTTAGCTCAAGTCTTCCTGCGATCACCTCTCTAACATTCCCCACCAGAAGAGGCATAATATTTGGTATTCTTCCATGTGTGTTGCCTAGCACCTGTACCAGTAGGTCTCGGATACTGGTATTTAGCACTCACTCATCCGTCTCTCCCACTGAACTAGGGGCATGTCTGGGCAAGAATCTTCCCCATTCATTTTTGAGTATTCACCACAATAGCATTGTGTCTGACACATAGTAGGCTTTAATGAATGAATGGGTGAACCTGTCAAATGGGGGGGTGGAGGAAGAATTGAACGAATTGGCAAAAAATAAGGTTAGCTAATATGCAAGTATAAGAAATTACTGAACTTAGGAGTCAGAAATTTTGAGATCTAATCCAGGCACTGCTGTTAACGATAGTAAGGTCTTATTCCAATCACTAGAACACTACGAACTCAAGAGGGGTTTTATAATATTTGCTTTGCTGGTTCACCGGCATCGTCTAAGGCCATCTGAGCTGATACACAGCAAAGCCACAGTGGCTTAGACAAATGTAAGACATTATTTGAGGCACCTAGTTAAATTTTTTAAATGTGCTAAATGGTTTAACATAATGAATATTATTTTTAAGAACAATAAAAAATAAAAACAAATGGAACTCAAGAATTATCATGGCCAAATGATTTTTGAGTACTGAGTTCTCACTCTTCTTGGAATGTTATCTAAAGCAATGCTGCCACACCATCTTTAGAAACCTCAGAGTCACTGGATTCGTGGTCTGTCCTTCAGGATCAGATGTAGAAAAGTCAAACAAGGAAAAGCAGAATAGGCAGGGTATACAGCAGACATCCTGAGTCCCACTTAATTGGGATTTGAGGATGGAGGGAAGGCCAAGGAAAATGGACTAGAAGTTGAGGAATTCAAATAAATTCAGGAAATCCAAAGTAAATGAAATTAATCACCTGTCATATTTCAAGACTTCTCAGAATTTTTAATATGCTAACATGCATCTTAAATGCTCAAAAGGGGGAGAGATATAAAATTGGCATTAGAATTCCAAGGAGCTTCCTTATTCATGTAAGTTCGTAGATAATGCTCATCAAACACAAATAAAGAACTTTTTTTTTTTTTAAACATTTGGAGGTGGGAAAACTTAGAAGCTCCAACACAGAGAAATATCCAGGGACTTAAGAGGGTTTTCTCATTTGTCCAAAAGATCTGTATCTGATAAGGAATTTTCAAATTGGTTTGCCAGTTCCTAGGAGGAAAAAAGGCCAAGACCCAACTATGGCTGTCCATGTTCCTTTCAAAAAGCAAATGGTGAAAAAAACCCAACCAACCAAAATCTTCTGTGGTGCCTCCTAAAAAAAGCACAAAGAAATCACACCTAAGTAATGCTTGCGCAAGTCAGAAAGAAAGATGTGTGATGAACTCAGGGTCTGGCCTTGGAAGACAGATTACTGGCTGTCCAGGGACCTCGTGAAGAAAGCTCTGCCCTTCAGCTTCCAGAGATCCAGAGCAATCAAATTCTGGAAGCTACGTTAGCCTAAAAGAGTTCACAAAGGACTGATATGCATGACATAATAGCAATTTACTGATTTACACAATAAGAAATTGAGCAACAAGGAACAGAGATGTGTATCTTCTGGCAAATGTATTCCAACCTTGCAGGCAAGCTAGATGTAAAGCCTTAATTAGGATCAGAAGAATGCTTGGTGAGCACGGCATCAAAACAAAGAGAACCGTTATTCAATTTAAATGTTTAATGGCATCGGACTAAGGCAGATTCTAAAAAAACAAATAAATAAGAGATGGATCACGATCTTGCCCAAGGTACTTTAAAGTAGCTGGAGATGGCCAGCATTAAGCTCTCCTGCTGACTGGGCTTTCCCAGAATGAAGCAAAATTGAGGGGCTAGATATGGGCAGAACTATTACTGAGCAAAACTTTGGGGGACATTTTTGTGAAACATAAAAAAAATTGCTAGGGAATTCAAAACACTTCTAAACATCAGTAATTGTGTGCATCAACAGTACAGAGCAATATGAAGTTGTTTTAGATAAAAATGTAAGAACCTGAGGTCTTTATAAAAGAGGAATAAACACAGGGTCAGGTTTCTCCCATCATAAGATGACGCAATGAGTTTAACTCCAAAATCCAAAGGTGGATGTTGAGTAATGAAAAACAATTTCCAGACACCGTATCATCTAATCATGATTAAGTCCTTCTACTCTACTTATATACACATACCTGCAAGTACGTGTACCGTGTTTAAAAAACAAATCAGAGCAAAACCTATCCATCTTTGGTTTTGGTTGGTATTCGTCTTTGTAATGAAAGTATTACAACACCGGGTGAAGTGCTGAGCACACAGTAGGCATTCAGTAAATGATGGTAACAGAACTCAAATTTAATAGAGCTGAAATTACATGTTTCATACATAATAGTTTTCTTTGGGTTAAAAACTACAGAATCATTTAGTGTTAGGTTAACTTCAGAAAAAAAATCCTCCTTGGGAGAGACAATTGCAGAAAAAGCCAAAATCCCACCCTTAGTCTTGATTAAATAATGCCCTTTAGAAATTAGCTTTAAAAACAAGAAAAAATAATTTCCTTCTAACTAGATACAAATTGGCTTTAAAAATTTCAAATTGAACAAAACCAACAACAGAAGTGAACAAATTATTACAAAGAATGATCTAGATGACTGGCACTTATTATATTGCAAATTTATTCCTCTAATGGATTTAACACTGTCCTTTGTCTTTTACTGAAGCCCTTTCTTTAGTCAGAAAAAGAACAGGATACAATTTGCAAGTCTAGAATTCCTGGACTGATAAAAACAACACTAGGTGCCCTTGAATTTCCTGTTCACGTGTTTTTGCCAGACTCCCCTATTCATTAATGTAGACACTACCAATAGTTAAGTCCAACATTCTTTCGTTTATCAAGCCTGGGGAAAGGAGATAACAAATCTGGCACT